GGCAAAAGCTGTTCTCAGTCCAAACATGGGAGTCATAATCTTACAGCCATTTGCTTGGAAGACAATGAAGGGAAGACAGAACAGACTGGGAAACTACAGCTTGCCACGGTAGAGAAGAGAACAATCTTTGTGCCCAGATTTCTTTGCTCTGCAGGGTAAGTTTTACAAAGCTGACAACCAGTAGCAACATGTAGTGGCCTCAGGCGTAATGCCTGCCTATCAAAGACTTGGATTTTAGCCCTGGAAAAATTACAGCTTCTCACTTCTCTGGAACCTATACTGGATGAGAAGAAAGCAAGAGAGTAATGAATGACCTAACTAAAAATTATTTTAATACACGGATTGCATACTATAAGCCATAAACTCAGGATTGCAGGGAGAACTGGGCGGAGATATGGAGAAAGAAAACATCAAGTCTTGACAGGAGCACCATAGCCACAGAAGACAAAAGACAACCAGCTGGGGCTGCCATGACAGCAAAGTTATCTACTGGAGTGGTAGGGGCTGGCACACTGAATGGAATGTATGGGTCCAGCAGATAAGCCCTGGAGACAAAAGAGGAAGCTCAGCAGTTAAGGCTGGAAAAGACAGTGAGGAAAAGGCGAAATCATTAGCTGAAGAGCCAGTCAGCAGGAATGTAAAGAAGAGAAAGGTAAATCCAAGGAAGCTGCACAGATGTGAATTAAAAAAGGTATTTAGTCCTCTGGAGCACTGGTGGCTTACAACTTCATTGCTGCACATCCTTCTGCAGGACTTGAAGCCTCTCTGCTGGGTGGCAGGTGCAAGCAGGCGTGGCCCAGCTCTCGCCTGTTGTCCCTATGTGTCCATACACTGATCATATGGAGGACGCCCACCAACAAAACAGCTCAGCTGCTGCCAGCTGCCAAAGCCAGTTCGCCACCCATGCAGTCCGAGGATGGCTGTGGCTTCAAGGCTGAGACAGGGGGTGAGCTGACCTCATGCATAGAAACGCCCACCACCACCACCACTTTGTGTCTGCACAGGCACACTTGCCCTGCAGGATTTCTGCAGCATCCATTTTAATCCAATGTTCAACAGCTAAAGTAAACTGCCAAACTGAAGGCCCAGAGTTATGGTCAGAGACTTTTTTTTGAAGCCCCACAAGAGACTCAAACTGTTTCAGCTTCCTCTCCCAAACGACAGCCTTGAGCTGTTCTCGCCTGGCTGCCGGAAGCCTGTGACGTGAAATAAAAGCCAGGAAATACGACTTTCTGAATAAACATTTATTTGGTGAGAAATACTTCTGATTTTTTGGCAGAGAAATGGCAGAAACCTGAAGCCCTATGTATAGCGTGCCTGCAGAGAGCAATTTCTATTTAAAGGGAAGCTGCAGCTGTCTGTAGCTCTTAATGAAGAATAATGCCTAGGAATAAATTACTGCTGTTTCTGAGAGACATTTCTCAAATTAAAGTGATTCTTCCCTTTTTCCCTCTCACTATAAATACCAATTGACATGTACTGGGCTGTTGTTTGTAAGAACTGACACATGCAGCTCTGCTCTTTTCTCAGCAGCCTGGTAATTTCCATAGAAAACCATGGAGTGATTTAGCATACGGATACCAAAGCAACACAAAAGCAGAGACATCCAGAATCATTAAGTCTGCATGTGTCAAAGCTTCCCGTAGCTCTTCCAAGGTGTGTACAGCTCAGAACAGAAACCAGGCATCACTTCCAACCACGCCACAAACCTAGCATTGAGGCTCCAGGCGTGGGAGATGGCTGCTCGCAGAAAACTGCCACTCACTAACCTTCAATTTCCATCACTTGTACAGCCTCTTCCCCGAGGGGCTGCTGCAGCAGCAGGACAGGCAGGCAGAGAAGGTGATGCTCTGGGGAGAGGGTGTGCCTGGGCCGCAGCCAGCCTGGCCAGGCGGCTCAGGAAGCAGCACTGACATCAGCTCCAGAAGCTGTCGCTCCCAGACCCATCATGGTTCCACGTGCCAGGAAAAACAGCCGGCAGCCAGGGGGGAGTACATGGGAGATAGGACCCAGGGTAAAGGAAGTAAGGAGAGCCAAGGAACAGAAAAAGAAGGCAGCAGCTCAAAAATGGGGTGGAACTGGGGCTAAGCCATGTGCAACCATGGTCCCCCAAGACCCTCTTTAGAGTCAGCCCTTATAGCAGCAGGTTCCTGCTGAAGGCAGGGCATGGAAAGCCTGTCTGGGCTAGAAGTGGGGATGTTTACTATCCTACCATCTGCAGTTTGCCCAAAATAACAGTTATAGATATGAGATCAACTAAACACGTTTCTGTTATTGACACATACTGGATTTAGAGATTTCTTTTCCACTTCCCACAAACTGTGCCAGAGGTTTTCACATAAGCACAGAAAAAAAAAATGCCTGTGAGTGAGGAACATGAAGAGTTTATTCATTGCTCCTGTTAGAATGTGTTTGTGCTTGTGTGGCTAGCACTCCAAAAAAGCTGTGGCATATGTTTTCAGGATGGAAAAAAAAAAAAACCTTAGGATACCTACATCCTACCAGAAAATTACAAAACCGTATGCTGGAATACACAAGGTACCCTCTGGCAGGAGCAAAGAAGCCTTGTCGTGCTTAATTTTTACCCTTACTAAAATAAACGTTCCTCCTTAACGAACCCTCCTGACATCTCTTTTTCTCTCCTCAGAAGTGGAATATGGACTTGATTTGTACAAGCACTGCTATTCCAGAAACGCTTTTCATCCAAATGAAGAGAGCAGGAAAAAGGAAGCAAGAAATTTGTACTGTTTAGTAAACAGGCAGTTTCTAGGTGGATACAAGACACTGGTCTCAATTTACTGCACCCCTCCCTCCTCACACCCCCCTTTCCTCTGAAATTTGCCTGGGTGGCAGAAGGCGGCAGCAGAAGGGAGCAGCTACCACTTGCAGTGGGAAAAGTTTGATCATTTTCCTCACATCTTAACATGACAACACCCTGTAAACAGGGAAGAGAGAGCAATATTTTTCAATAAAATCACTGTATGCTAGGAATTCCTTTCAGGAGAAACATTGTACCTCCTCACCTCTGGTATTCTTGTCTCCCTGAGAGGTTAAAGGAAGAGGAGAGGAGGAGCCTAGCTGACTGCCTCCTTCTTGCAGCAGTGTCCTCTAAGCAGAAGCCAGTCTCTTATACAATATACAGTCTCAAGGAACTGCTAAAAAGCTCTCCATCACCTACAAATGATTCCTCAAAAGGAACCAGTCCTGGATGCCAGCGTAAGAGCAATTCTCAAGAACACTTTTCCTCATCCATACCTAGTGAGAAGAGTGCTGCTTTTTCTGCACTAACCCAGGCTTCCTGAGTACAATCAGGGTTTTGGCACCACAGTAGCAGAACATCACACTGTGCTTTAAGTGGGCTGATTTGAAACCGTTTAGGAGAGGGCAGAATGTAATGATCACACTGATGGCATCTTCAACAGATATTCCATCCCCTGCAATGGCTGATGATTGCCTCTTTCAGTTTACCTGGCAGATTTGGACACTACACACCTTACAGGACCCAGAGGATGCTCTTCTTCACATGAGGTGGTGCTGCTGTTGCAATCAGTGGAGGTGATTGCAACATCTTAAACAAACATCCCCTATTATCCAACAGCTCTGCATGCTAGGATGGTTGGTTTTTATTATTATTATTATTATTATTATTATTATTATTATTATTAATATTATTATTACTATTATTACTATTATTATAATATTATCTGTCCTCTCCTGTTCTAGGATGCCAGCATGCAAAGTAAGTCCTTGTGGTTTTAAAGAAGCCTTTCGAAGTGTGGGAATAAGCTATATGGCCACGCCTGCTTGGGTACATGGACAGTGGGAAGCTCCACATTTCAGAGGTCCCTTATTCATCTTAATGAGCTACTAGCTTGGCAGCTTAGTGGTAACTAGAGTAAGTAAAAATTCCAAATGTTGGCTTTGTTAACTATTTCACTGTAGGTCAAAACAGGTGGGAATGGCAAGAGATGACAAAAAATTTTCAGTGTCTCCTCTAATATCTATTTTGCAGCTGGTTCTTGGGAAAACAGCACCACTTAGCCTGTCTCAATCTGCTTCCCGAAGCCTGAACCCAAAGGGAAAAGCAGAGCAAAGGAGGGAGCTAGAAGGCATGCCAGAAAATATATTCATATTTACTACATTAATGGAAAGTGCACAAACTAGTTTGGTTGAACTGGAAGAATCTGCAGCTTGTTTAATCACTACTAACATCTTGAAGGACCACTGCATACTCTGGGCATAAGAATTAAATAGTAACTTGCCTAACTTGGAAATTCCCATGGTTCTTTCTTAAGGGAATGTTTACATTTGATCTGCATGTTTGCCCATTTCAACCCAGAAAAGCAGTGGGCTTCATAAGAAAATCAGTGAACATAAAAATATTCATGCTTTCTCTTTAGCCATCCCTCATGGGAACATTTTCTTTTATTAACACCACAGCTGAATCATGGTCTCAGTTGAGTGACTGTGTTTCCCTTGGAAAGGTGTGCTACTCCAGTTCCCATGAACACAAACCTCTAAGAGGAGCATTTGTACTGGAAATACTCAAGCTAATATAGCAAACTGACCATCATGAGTCTGGAATACCAGAAATAACTATAGAAATAACTACATGTGCATTCCTCTAATTTGAAAGTGGTCAAATAATTTCAACCATTGTGCAAGCATGCATAAAACTCCTGAATCTGTAGTATTTTTCATTCCTGTTAGGCTACACAGTCACATGGCCTTCCAATGCAGGCTCACATATTTAATTAAAAAGCAATAGCAGTGTGACAAATAATGGTAGCAGTCCAAGGAAAAGAAGCCCACCATCTTTCCTTAAATAACACTAGTCTTCCCTTAAACCCATTAAAAGAAAAAAAAAAAAAAAAAGAGGGAGAGAAATTCAACTCTTTGGTGCTCAGTGCATCACATGGAAGAGACCAGATAGTACAGGGTAGATACTATCTCCCAAAAGACACAATTGGAAGTATTTGTTATCACTGCTAGGAACTCACAACATTCACTTTGTTCTTCTTCAGGGAATTCTGGATTATCCGTTAGCATGAAGATTTTTCAGAAGCTGCTGGATTGATCACTGGCTTTCCTCTTTCAAATAAAGTAAGGTAGAGCTGTAAAACAAAAGGAAAACCAAGTAAGAAAGGAAAGAAAGGAACAAAAAGAGGAAAATTCATAGAGCAGTGTAACAAATGAACAATTGACTCCTACATCTCCTTGAAGCAAATGCATTTTTAATGAGCTCTCAAGATGAAGATTCCAGAACAGAGTGAGTGTATGGCAAGCACCGATCGAGGATCGGAATAGTCATTTGCTCTGTACATATTATTACACAAAATTAAAACCCAGTTCAGAATTGCTGAAGCAGATACATAATTAAAATAATTCTTGGATACTTCTGTTGCTGTAACAAGAGAAAGAAAAAAAACTACTTGGAAATTGCTGTTTAGAAAAGTGTTTGCAAACAAAGTCCACAATGTGCAGAGAGATCCACACAGGAAGATTTTTGTTCTCAATGAAGTCCCCTAGAGAAACACCTATCTATTTCCATGGTTATCTGCAATATTATAACAGTGGAGTACTGAATCCAAAAATACACACACATACATTCGTGCTGTTCCTCAGTAGAAAGTTTTTTTCATATTTGAGATTTTTAATATTGTGTGTTTCTTTCATTGCTTTTTTGGACAAAATTTAACTGTGGAGCAACTCTTAATTTTATTTTTTTTTTTACCTACTACACAAGGTATCAGACTGTCCTCAGCCTTTTTATTAGGGTCAGAGGAAATAGTTGGGTTTCATTTTCATGTGAATCCCACACAGAATACTTAAAATGAAGTGTATATTGCCACATGCCCCACATTGAACATTTTTTTTCATTGAACCAGGTTCCCATGGTCTCCTTGTGCTTCCCAAATTCTTAGTTTCACTTTGTGCCACCAACATTTCCTACCTCCTTAAATATTTCAAATGTCACTTCAGGATTTGTGCACATGGATTCCATTATGGTAGAATCCATGTCCTCAAATCAAAAAGAAGTGCAGGACCAAACTCTACACCTTAGTAGACGGTGCAAACTCTCTTCACTTGTTGAAGGAAACAAGGCAATCCAGAAAATTATTCATTTGAGCTATCAAGCATCTGGTTTAGGACAGAATGATTCACTCTCTAAAAAGGTCTGGTTCTCTCCATAAAGTGAGTCTAGACACTGAGCTCAGATTAGATGCCTACATATGAATGCAGATGAATCTCACATTATGTGAAGGGAGGAAACAAGTCAGACAGATGGACAAGAGCAGTTCATGGGTGAAGAGCAGAGGGAAGACAATGCCATGATAAAAAACATTGCTATTCAAAAGATGTTTACACCTATGACTGGTTTAGTCGAACATACAAAGCAACAACAACAAAACCTTCTAAAGCCCAAAGCAGTATCTGCCCAGCTGATCCAGTTTTGGTGTAAGGCTACTCCTGGATTTACTGGCTCAGGCTCAGCCCTCATGGAGCAGCATGTGCAACCCTGCATCCAGCTGGGACTTGGGCAGGCACCTGGCAATGGTGGTGACAGTGACCACTAGTCCCAAGGTGCATGTGTCTTTGTCTTCTCCCTGATGGACTGTAGCAATGCAAGATACCTGTTAAAAAAAATCTTCCCTCTTTAACACACAGTAGTTTCTTCAGAATTGCAACTCCTGTGTGACAGAGGCACTGCTACCTCAAAAGCCTTCAGATACCAGGCCCTGGCTACACTTCCAAGACTTTGGTCAGCAACTTCTCTCTTCTACTGAAGTGGGATTCTGCTGCTTATCTGGCAGAGACACACCATCAGACATGGTCTCACAAGATTTTTAACTTTAGAAAGCAGACCAAAGAGGGAAAAATAACACAAACCTTAAAAAAAAAAAACAAAAACACCAAAAAACCAAAAAAACTTGAAACTTTGCTTAAAATCAAACCAATTTATTTTCAAGCCATTTATTTTTTTCTTTCAATTATGAGACTTTCACAATTTAAAAACCTCCATCTCAGCTCGAAATACTCAAACCATTTTGCTTCTAAGTGTTAAGATGAAAGATTTCAGCATTTGCAAATTATTTTTTCCCCAATAAGTTGGCAACCCTCAAAATTGCAATTTTTAATCCTTATCTCTTGTCATTTAGCATTTGGGGGAACCTTCAAATGGAGTCCAAATGACTATGATAAAATATTCAACTTTTCCAACAAAAATAGATGCCTTCCAATTATTTTCAGTAAGAGCAGAGACGTTTACTCCTGGCAAACTCCTGCTTGGATAGACTCCTGTGAGCCTCCCTGGAGAGTCAGCTGTGTGTAACCTGGGCTGACACCCACTACACTCAGTGATTAAGTCCTTCCACTAACTTCAACAAGTGGGATTAGGATTTTGATTCTGTTCAAGTTAGCAAGGCTCTGACTGCCCAAACCAGGGCTTTGATCGCTGAATCAGGAGCGAGACTGCTTGCTAGCTTGCAGTGACCTTGCTGTCAGTCTGGAACATGTCTGCAAGTGTAGGGACACAGGAACAGGTCACAAGCAGCACCTGTGCAACACAGTGCAGTGGTGGTACTCTGGGGCAGAGATTTTCTCCATGCACTTACATTTCACAGGAAGGATGACATGAAGCAAGGTAGCTTACACCTCAGGCAAAAAAAGGGGAGAGAGACCTTGTATTTACCACAGGGTGCCTTTGTACCATGCACACAGCCAATTATTATGGAGCAGATTATGCACTATAAATTCACAAGCTAGTTTAATTTGCTACAACTTGCTCACTTGACCTTACCCACAGGCACTTCACTCTGTGAGGGCCAAGTCATGTCTGCTTGCAAATGTTCCCAGGCACTTTTATGCTTAAGATTTAAAGATAGCATAGCACAAAATTCAGGATGCATGGAGAGAGGCTGCTTCTTGAAGCACAACCCTCACCTGAAGAGCAGAGCACCCAGACCCTAACTGGGACAATCTTTTGCTAGGCAGATCTGATGGGCTCTGATGACATGCTCTTCATGGAACATGTAAAGCAGTCATAACTTGGAGGGCCCAGAAGACAAAGCTGGTTCGCAGTGCAATTAGGCCCTGACCAGACTTTGGGACTGAAGTTTCACCATGATCAACAAATCATTATCATGTACACGGTTACCGATCACATCTCCGCTATCAATGGGAAGCGTTACCAAGGAAGCTGTTTTTCATGGTCCCACAGCATTATGGTTACTCAAATATCACAGCACAGCCCTGTCTTTGAGAGCTAAAAAGGACACTGTGCTGACAGATTAGAAGTGTAATTGAGATATGAACAGATCTCAAATCAAAGAACATGGAAGTACTTCTCAGGAGTATTTTGAGACTAAAATTGGACCCCAGGGCAATCAACAAATAAGGAGAGTAGTACAAGCAAGCAACTGCAAATTGGCAAAACCTGAAAACCAGAAGTTGGCTACATGCAATATCCTGTATTTATTCCAAGAAAAGGTCATGCTCTCCCATTTTGCTTTGAAGATCAGGCAGTGAGAGATTACCGTTTTACTAGTCCTTTCCTGCAGGTTTTTAATTGTCATCCCTTGCTCTCTTGCATGACATAATTTGGTTTCCCTAATTCACAAATCAGCATAAGCTAATAAAGCTGTTTAAGAGACAGCAGCCTTGTGCCCAAGTTGTTTCGTTGTTCACTATTATCCCTCAACTAATCCTTCAACTTAAATAAAACCATAATTCATTTCCTGCTTTATTCTCCCTCTACATGAAATAATTTTAGACAGGTTCAATCCTGCCTCACCGCAAATGGGAAAGGCGAGGTTTTATCTTCCTGGAGCGTGCATGATTTCAATTACCTAATGTGTGTATCATCTGTCATGTCAGGAAAAAAACTTCTAAATTATTTTCAACAGGTTTAGCTGACTTTATACAATGAGAAAAGATCCTAATGGAAATAAATTTTAAAAAACAAACAAAACAAAACAAAACAAAAACAAAAACAAAAAAACCAACAACAGACCACCCAAAAACCTCAAAACCACAAAGCAACAAATAATTTACTATCTTTTAGATTGCAAGTTAATAAAAGCTTCTCTACATCAGCCATGCCAAACTTCGCCCATCTGAAAGTCTTCTGGCATTTTGTCCAGTGTATAAAGGCTGCTGCTGATGTTTTGCTAGTGTAAAAATTACTTAAATCCCAATTATGCCTACTTTAATACTATGGTGAAGCAGTATCACCTTAGGACAATAGAGGTTTTGTTTGCATAAAACATGAAGGCATCACTCTGATTTCTATTTAGCATCCATTCCTCATCTGAAGCTTGATCCTTCAAGGTTTTTTCATGTAAACAAACATCTCCCATGGCTTTGCATGTGGTCCACAGTGAAATCCCCAACTTCAGAAGGTGTTACGCCCCCTTTGTGCAGGGTGAGTAACTGTATCTGGGTGCACAGGAACAGTAAATCAAGTTGTTAGCACTTTGTATATCCCGCAGGTCCTAAACCAGAAAAAGAGGATGCAGATCATGGGGCTCAGACAAGGAAGCAATCCATCCTGCCCCTCCTTTTGTAGCAGAGGGAAGAACATTTATGTTGCCTTCTCCAGCTCTGTGAACATGGAACATCCCAGCCCAGCACATCTTTCCTGTGTGAAAAGCATCTCCAAGCATATTCAGAGGGAAAATGCAGGACAGGAACATGTACCTGTGAATAGCACAGAGATGGGAGCAGCAGGCGAGGCTGAAAGGACAAGGCTGCAGCTCCAATGCAGGAGGCACTATGCAAGATGGCCATTGATTGTGCACAACTAACGTTAGCTGGGAGTCATCTAGAAATCGGTGTCCCAAGAATTAATCTAAAGACCATGATTCATCATTACTTTGCCCACAGCAGGTATTTTTCACAACTGAAGGCTCAGGTAAACCACCCCTCATTTTAGCATCAGCCTATGCAAAAAGACTGAGAGCTTTTGGACATAGTCACTGCACTCATCTCCCCTTCCAAACCTCTTCATCTGGAAACCATGGAAGTAACTTTGCCCCCAGAGCTGTCTTCACTGCTCTTGTTACCCATTCCCTAACCTCAACACCTCTGCACAAGTGACTGGAAAACAGATGAA